TATATTAATATATATTTATTTGTATAAATTTTATTATTTAAGTATAGGGGACTATGTACGCAGTATATAAAATTCACACATAATTATAATAAGCATTGTGATCCAGCTATGACCGTCATTGGCTTCTTTCTTCTTCTTGTTGATGTTTATTATTTGTGATCTTAAAAAGATTCTAATATTATGTAATAATAATGTAATAAATGTTCATAATTATATATACAAAGAGTTTTTTATTAATAAAACCAATAAAATAATCATTATTTTATTTATAAATAGTGTGGTACAATTGTTCCTCTCTACTGTTACAATCGTCCCAGGGGTTGGGACGATTGTAACAAAATTCCTCATAGTCTTTAAACAAACATAACTTTTTTTCTAGTTATATTGAAAAATTGAATTAAAAAAAATGTGTAGCTAAATAAATTCTACATCTAAAGGTATATTCGTTTTTAATGTAAATGTCATATTTCAATTGTTATAACACTTCAAAGTCAAAATGTTACTTTTGTCCCTGGTCTACCCTACTTTATTTTATTCAAATGAAGAAAATAAACATGAAAGTTAGGAAAAACACACTCAAATTATTTGTCATTAAATGTAGAATTTTATAAAATTAGTTTGAGTACAGTAACTTTCAAACTTTTTTGCCAAATTAAAAATAATATACTGATAGTCATTAATTAGGATACGGTTTCAAATAGCTATGAAAACATTCTAAGATGTTCACTAATGGGGACATTTAAAATGTATTAACAAAATAATTCATAAAATGCTATCACATTGTAACATTAAAAACACATATGTATTAGACGATATTTTCACTGCCGGAGTATACATTCTTTCTATGAAATGTATCTATTATTTTATTTTTACTCGACTACATAAACGAAATCGTCACTGGAAAATGACCATACATAACAATAATGATTCTGTTGATATTTGAAGGTTAAATGTGTTTCTCTCTCTGTCTCTATTTCTCTGAGTTATTTAAAAACAAATACGTTTTTAACAATACGAAAAATTCGCTTTTAAAACTTTATTTTTATAATCATACGATCCCTAGAAATAATTTTAAAGAAGTCATTGTTGTGATATGTATGTGAAGACCCAGACCGACGAGTTTATATATGGTTTCAGGAAACAATTAAGGTTATCAAGTAATCAATCACAAATAGTCATTATTGTAATCATAATAAAATGATGAAATGTAACTTACCGTTTATTTAAGAAGGGTCACAAAAGCTCTTATCTGTTGTCTTGTAACAGTGCATAAACCGTGTAAATGTGTCTGGCGGTTCGGGCAGTACGAGTATAGCGTTTGCAGAAGACGTTGTGGCTGTGAGGGCGCTTCCAATTAATCGAAATGTTTGAAACAAAGAGCTAGGAAACTTCTTGTTTAGGCAACTTTTGTTTCGGCGCTTAATGAATATTATTATCAATTCATTGTACTATTTTTAAGGCAGTGGAGATTAGACAGGTTACATTCATATTTTTATTTTACGATATCAAAATTAATATTGTGGACGTTGTGTAGGAATTAGCATCTAAAATATAAAACTTCTGTAAAATATAAAAATTATCATTTTCTTTTTGAATATTTCTTACATAGAGTTATCGACAATTTTTTTTATTTTGTATGAATTTTTTAAAAATTATCAATACGATGAAATAATTTTAATAAATGTTCACAGTTATACTCTCTTATAATTGACGAACATAAATTGCTTTGTAAAAATTAAAAATAAAAACTGAAAATACACGTGTTTTTCTATAACAGGCTTAATTGTGGGGTTAGGTAGTTGAACATTTACAAAAATTATTGAATTTTTAGAAAAAAAATATTTTCAAAGTCATTTGGGTGACTTTTCATCTCAATACAGCTATATAAAACCTTAAAATAAAAAAAAA